GTGTGTGTGTGTGTGTGTATGTGTGTGTGTGTGTGTGTGTGTGTGTGTGTGTGTGTGTGTGTATGTGTATGTGTGTGTGTCTGTTCAAGGTATAAATGATTAGATGTCAAGGGATTTTGTTAAAGGTCGTAATTACGCCTTAATGGGTGCCGAGGTATTGAAACATTCACACTAAAAATCGGAAATTTGACTTATATCGAAAGAAACCTCATGTTTACAAATTTCAAATTGCCATTCTATTTTTGTACATCGTATAATCCTATATTTCTGCAGACCACAAGACCTGTAGACATACTGGATAAGACTGGTACTATTTTACGTCTGGCAGCGAAGTCCCAGCCTGTTACCGAAGACAAAACTCCCGGAACCCCGTCAGTGCTTCTGAAGATCCACTTTATCAGACAAGATGATCTCTACGTGATTAAGGTTGTTTTCGTTTCTTCTTTTCTGATGATAATTAAATGATATCCATCAAGCTCCCTTTTTTTCCCCCGCGAAGGAGATTCGTTCCTAACTTTAATAAAGAGAGGAATGTTGGTCGTTCAGGTAGTTGCCGAAACTAGGGTGTGAAGTTGGGTGGTTTATGGCTTGAAGAGAATTTTTCGAAAGGCTTCCTCTCGACGCTAATGAGGGGGAAAAAAAGGTGTGTGGAGAACTGCAGAAGAATTTACGGCACATTAACATATTTTTTATCATGTGTTGCGTAATCTGTTAACCATGACCAGTAGTAGTTCTCAAATTTTCTCAAAGACCATCGATGCTACTACGTCCACTATAAGTCGAAAAGGCGTGTTATATCTTAAGCGAATATACCGTCAATACAGGAAACTAATATCATTTTTTTCTTAAGCGAAATTCCAAAAATAAGTGTCAGATTTATAGTACATTATAACCGGTTTATGGTCTGCAGTGCATAGTGGGGCAGTGTGGCGAGAAGTGGTTTCTGTTTTATTAAGGAACGTGACAAGTGTATCTTGATAATGCAAAGCTCATAAGAGGAGACATTATACTTATCATCTTTCCTGCATTATACACATACACACACACACACACACACACACACACACACACACACACACACACACACACACACACACAAACACAAACACACAAAAACATACACGAAGGGGAAAACATCAGGACTGCAATTCAAAACTTCAACCCCCACAAAATACACGGAGAAAGCATAATGCCTTTTTCAGCGTTCGTGCGTACTGCATTCAGAGGTTAAAACGATACATCTAAAAGACCGAATGACTAGGAATTTATGACCGAACGCTATCCTGCCGAGTCACTGCCGAGGTCGATTTTGAGGGAAGCGGATAAAACCAGGTTTCAAAACTTTTGGTTCAGTGTTAATATTTTACACTCGACGAAATGAGCGTAAATGTGTATAGTCTAGTCCGGTCTTTAGGCATAACAGCAATAATCCAAAATTGTGCTTTAAATAACGGGCGTCTTATCATACTGAATTTTCTTAAGACAAATGCTAACTTGGTGTTATCATCTTTGTGAATGTATTTTTGGGAAAAAAAAAGGAAGTAGTGCTTTGTTAAGTGAGATTTCGGTAGATTTCTGTGTTGTGATGAAAAATGATGATTGTGGTGACAGTGATAACATATGACAATAATATTAATAATGATAATAATAATGGTAATGATAATAATGACGACAATAATAATGATAATGATAATAGTAATGATAATGATTATAATCCTAATAGTGAAAATTATAATAATTATATTCTTAATATGAAAAATCATGATAATTATATTAATAATAATAAAAGTAATAATACTAATACTAATAATAACAACAGCAAAACAATAACAAGAACAACAACAACAATAATAGTAATGATAATGATGATGATTATATTAACAATAATCATAATAATGGTAGTAATAGAAATGATAATGATAATAACAATAACATTGATGATAATAATGGAAATAACAATAATATGATAATAATAACAATACTACTACTACTACTACTATTAATAATGATAATAATAATAATAGTGAAAATTAATAATGATGATAACAGCAACAGTAATACTACTACTACTAATGATAATAATAATAATAGCAATGATGATATTTATAATAATAATAATAATAATAATGATGATAATGATAATAATAATAATACTGATGATGATGATGATAACGATAATGATAATGATAATAGTAATTATCATAATGATAATAATAATCATAATAATAACAATAATAATGATAACAACAACAATAATCATAATAAGAATGACAATGATAATAATAATAATAATAATGATAATGAGAATAATAACAATAATAATAATGATAACAATCGCTATAGAGATCGGACAGGGAAAGTTTTCCCCATTCTGGAGTAACTCAGGGAAGAACAAGCAAGGCGGACGAACTGGTATGTAAGGTGCCCGTTATTCAGTGTATTGTAATGATAAAAAAAAGCTAACTCACACAGATAATCCATTAAGCAAAGTGGAACAGAAATGGATAACCGTTCCTATGTGGTGGAACAGGTAGTTGATGGTGTTAAACTCAATGTAGGTTAACGTGTGTAACCCATATCGAATTCTCAGACAGACAGCGGCCATTGGCGGGCGAGTTTGACACCTTTACTGTTCTTTTCTTCAAAATTCACATCCGGAAGTCGATGACCCAGGTCTTGTCCAGCAACCTTTAAACTAACGTACCTACAGATATATGATTTTTTTTTTTTTTTTTTTTTTTTTTTTTTACGTTTTCGCGCATTTTTGTACGATTCTACTTATTTATAGGTCATATACATAATGGTCATTCACTTAAGCACTATTGCAAACACCCACGTAACTCTATGTACTTGCAAACGTATAAGAAAAATATATTGTTGCATATTTAAACTACGTATAATTACCCATCCGTATTTATAGACCTTTATAAGTAGGCACTTATATTAATGATTATACTTACAAAGTCTAACGAGTGCCACTTACGCATCCGTTATTTAATTTTGAGAACATAAAGTAATAACCTTTTTGAACGAATGATTGTCATGGAATTTCCTGTTTTAAACTCTCGTGAATTGTTCATGACTTGATGCTAATGTTCTTTGATGGCGAATGATATGTATAAAATTGAGATGAAAGAAATGATGTGAATATCAGAGCAGGGAGATTAAATGCTTTTGGTCGTCTGTGTTCTTATTTTGAGAAGATCTTAATAAGGCGTAAGTGCTGTATAAATGCATGCTTACGAAAAATGACTGATGCATACACTCATATGTATGAAAATCATGTATACACACACACACACACACATACACACACACACATACACACACACACACACACATACACACACACACACACACACACACACACACACACACACACACACATACACACACACACACACACCTCATACCCCACACACACACAACCCCCCCCCCCCACACACACACATACACACACACACACACACATACACACATACACACACACACACACCCTCATACCCCCCACACACATAACCCCCCCCCCCCCCACACACACACACTTACACACACACTTACACACATACACCCCTCCCCCCCACCCACACACACAAACAACTGAACAAACAAACACGTACCTTCGACACAGCTACCGACCGGCATGCGACAAAGGAAAGAAAGAGAGCGGCCTCAATCACGTGACCTTTCCTCGTAGTCTAAAGTTACGCACTCATTTGTAAATTCTTAAAGGTGACATTTCTAACAAAAGAAAAAAACAACAACACACGTACAGAACATGAGGGAAATACAGTATATGAATACGAACGTCCATGATGAACACGTTTTATATATTTTCGTACGTATATTGCACGTTTAGAGTATATACACGTACATTCTTTCTTATATAAAAAAAAAAAATACTTTTCAATTAATGAATTTAAATATGCAGCTATACGCTTTCAAGTTAATGTTACGACCTAAACTAAATTTAAAATCTCTCTTCTCTCTTCTCTCTCCTTTTCGTTCTATTCTTCTCTCCTTGTTGTAAATATAACGACGAAGGGAATAGAAGAAAACGCACGAAAAAAGAGGAATTTTCGCGTTTCTTGTTCTTCCCTTCGTTCTTCTCCTCCTCACCTATTCTTTTACTTCATCTTCTTTTGCCTCTCCACCTCTTCTTCCTGCTCCCCTTCGTTTGTCTCTCCTTCACTCCTCCTTCCATTCTTCCTCTTCTTCACCTCGGTTTCTCCTACGCACTTTTTTTCTCCTTCTTTACTACCATCTTATCACCTCACCTCTTCCCTTCCATCTCTCCTCCTCTTCATCTCCTCTCCTCCTTCCCTCTCTCTCTCTCTCTCTCTCTCTCTCTCTCTCTCTCTCTCTCTCTCTCTCTCTCTCTCTCACTTTTGCTCTGTCTCTTTCTCTCTCTCTCTCTCTCTCTCTCTCCCTCTCCCTCTCCCTCTCTCTTTCTCTCTCTCTCTCTCTCTCTCTCTCTCTCTCTCTCTCTCTCTCTCTCTCTCTCTCTCCCCTTCTACAGCTTTACAACCTTTGCCTTCGACATGGATATGTTCCGCAAGGTTGGACGAAAAGCCTCATTGTACCTGTTCCTAAGCCTGGCACTGACAAGTTTAGACCAATATCCCTTACATCATGCTTCTGTAAAGTGCTGGAGCGTATCCTCCTGAATCGCCTTATGTATCGCCTTCAAGATAAACTATCATCCAGGTTATATGGATTCCTGCCACAACGCAGCACGCACCACTGTCTATTGGAGCTATACACTCGCCTCTCCTCTACAAGTCTTGTCGCATTCATTGACCTGAAAAGTGCCTTTGACATTGCAAATCCTGATGTGATCCTCGACCAGCTTGTGGACTTTGGTGTTAGTGGAAATCTCTTGCGATGGATACGAGGATACTTAAGCAACAGATCATCCTATGTCCTCTTTAAAGGTGCCTGCAGCACACCTAAGTGCTTTGGCCTTGGGACTCCACAGGGAGGTGTCCTCAGCCCATTTC